GGGTTTCTCTATCTTGTTGAATTTTTATGAAGTGAGCATCGTCGCCTAGAGGATTCAACTCGTTTTGTTTTTTAATGTAGAATCCAGAAACCATGGTTAAGGATGGTTCATTAGAGTCAAATTCCTACAACTGAAATACAGTATATACACCATAAGTTGATTTCCAAGCATTCCATGGATTCAAAAAGTTAGAACATAAATAGATCATATTCACCTATACAAAACAACATCCATCAATGAATCTTTTGTTTTGGGAGGGGGGTAATGATGGTATCGAGATGTTGTCACTCCCTCAGATCTGTTTCAGATCTCATATCCGAGATCGTCGGCGGGGTTGAGACAGCAGTCTACGGCGACGAAGAAATGAGAGCCATAGCAGTGGCGTCTCGATCGTCGGCGGAGGGAGAAGAGGAGCTGGCGTGGTGGTGATGGAAGAAAGAGAAAATGACGACACCGACGATCCATGCCGAGAGTGAGAGAGAGGGATAAATTACTAATACAACCCTGCCGAGAGTGAGAGAGAGGGATAAATTACTAATACAACCCTAGAGCTTGATTAAAATATGAATCGCTCTATGTGATTTTTAAAATTACATTTTACTCTTTGAGATTTTTAATTTTATAACAAATTGCTCATTTTATTAATGAATTATTAAGTCAATTAACAGTTTTTAATGATGTTAGAAATATGTTTCAATTAATAATTTAAGTAATTTTATTATTGCATTAAAGAGCAATTATAATTTTTGTTTTTTTTTTTTTTTTGAGTGGGTAAGTCATAAAATAAAAACAAAAATATACACAGCTACAAAGGGCATGCCCCAGGACCTAAACAAAACTATACAAGCAAAACCAACCCAAGAAGAGCGGCTGGCCAAACGAAACAAACAAACTAAAAAACAACCAAACCTAACAAGAGCAAATCAACCAGATTTGGAATAATCAGAGCTGATGATTGGATGGGATTTGAAACCACTCAATTAAGCAACATAGACTTCTTACAAATATATATAAATCACAATGGCCCCGTTTGGTAGAGCTGTGGGAAAGTGATTATAGCTTATAGCTTATAACTATGAATATAAGCTGATTTTTGACTTATAAATTAAGGTTCTCCTCCCCCACTCAAAGAATAAGTTGATTTTTGACTTACAAAAAGCTATAAGTTATATTATTAAGCTGAACCAAGCACATCAAAATAGCTTAAATTAAGCTAAAAGCTTAAATAAGCTGGAAATAAGCTCTACCAAGTAGGGCCAATAACAACCAAAAACAGATTTTGAATCTGTGAATATGTTCATGAGCCTCATACCGACAATATAAGGACCATGAACACATACCATATGCTCTAAGATCTGAAACAAAACAAAAAATATAAAAAGGCCCTACACAACCCGTAGGAATAGGCCAACAGAGAACTATTAAAAGAGTCATTATTACAAAAATATATAACGACTAACAGAAAAGAAAAACTTTCTTCGCTTTTGAGGCGTATTGTGCAGCCATCAACTTTTGTTGTCCACCATGATATCAATAAAGTAAGGAAAATGCAAATTTCTTCACTCCACAGGCGCTTCCAGTAGCCATACAACCTGTTAACAAACACAGATTAAGCCATACAACCCAAGGATGTACAGAGTAAATCTAAACTAGTTTTTCCACAGCTTACAGCAGGCAGATAGCAGACACAGATTGCAGACATATCAGCATAGGCTATCTGTACGAAATCAAGAAAAAAAGACACCAAAAATCCTATTTAAGAACAGCTAAAAGAGCTGGCGCATATATGTAGCCTGGCCCTCTAGAAGTCCTTTAAACAGACCCTACAAGAAACTGTGCACAGATCTATATCAAGACTTACTTTATGTGACCTCACAAACTCAACCCATATATAGGCACTCAAGCTCAACAAAGAATAAATATAGCTTAGCACAAAGGAGAAGAAAAAAGAAGCAAAAAGCTCTCCAATAATGTAGATCTCTCTTCACTCAACCCTCAACAAATGACTCATTCACAAAAGTATCAGCTTTGTCACCTGCAGGCACAACAGTTAGAAACAGAATATAACTGGAACTCACATCACTCAGCCCTCAAGCTCACAAACCTCCACTGCCTAATATAGATCTCACAAACACTCAACCCACTTTCCCTAAGAATAGGCCAGCTTGACAACCTACAAACAAACAGTTAAGGAAAACTATGTAGTAGCATACAGTCATTCAACCCTGGATATAGAGATCTCACCACACTCAACCCACAAAACCTCCCCATCACTCCACACACAAAGACTTGGAAAGGCCACTGTCATGGATACCCCCACCTGAAAAAATTAGAAACATGTATATGGTATATCACAGTGAGGGGACTGTTTTGATAATAGAATCTGGCAATCTCCAGATGGACAAGAACCATGCATTATTTGGATTTCTCTTAACATTTTTAAGTGACAAGACCCTGAACCTGATCATATTAAAAATATTCAAGGCAACAACTTCTTCAGGGATTTTCTTTGTGGTGAAAATTCTATTATTCCTTTCAAGCCAAATGAGATAGACAGAGCAGGTGAAAGCAAGCCTAGAAATTATGGAACCAAGAGACTTACCTTTAAATAAAAAATTTTGACAAGAAGATAATTGTAATTTTCTAAATCACAAGAGACAATTTGTACTTTAAACAAACTTTAGGAGATGCATTTGTAATTTACCCAGAGAGAAAGTGAAGGAGAGCAAAGAGAGAGACGGTTTGTTCTGATGAGGAGATAAAGACAATTTAGGGCTTGGTTTGGGTATAGAATATATATATATATATGGATTATTTTGATATTTTATTTAAACTTGTCTTTATAGACAAAGTATTTGAATGTCTGCACCTTTGACCAAAGAAAGTTTAAAATTAAATTTGTGAACCGAATGCACTTATTTTTAATCTAAATAATCAACTTATTTTTGGTAAATAAAAGTAACAAAAAATAATAATTTAATTATTAAATTCAATTCAGGCATATATATTGTAGATTTTTGTGACAATTTAACTAAAAGATTATTAAAACATACAAAATCAATTATTTAATACATATGGTAAATTGTCAATAGTCCATTCTGCATTAATAGCATGGTAAATTAGACTTTAATGCTTCTAATTTCACTTAAATTCTATTTTGATCTCTATTATTTTAATTTAAACAATTTAATCCATATATTTTTATTTTAATTTGGTTCTTGCATTCAAATTGAAAGTTAAAGTTAACAATTTTAATAGACTTGTCACCATCTTGAGATGTACATGTAGAAAAATTAATAAAAATTTAAATAAAATACCAAATTGAAACCACATTTAAATTGTAAGAATAAAATTATTCAAATTAAAATAAGAGGAATCAAAATAAAATTTAAATCAAATTATAAGAGTAATTTATCTTAATATATATGACTTCATTTTTTTTTTATAATAATACGTATGACTTTATTGGGCCAACTTTGGATGGCCGAGTAACGGATAGAACAATCCTACACATGCCTTCAATTTCAATTTCTAACATGATTTCTTTCTTTTCATTTAGACTTAGTTTGATTATGATGAAAATGGGGTAGAAAGTAAAAGAAATATTAAAAAACAATGTTTTTGTGAATTTGTTTGGTATGAAAGTAATGAAAATTATAAGAAAATTAATTTTTTTATACAATTTATAATAGTATGATAACTCAGCTTACACTTGCAAGAAATGCAAGAAAATATAATAAAAGAATTAATTTATTATAAAAGTAATTACTTATAATTAGAATTTTTATTTTCTTACAAAACTTTCATCCTAATCAAATTTATAAAAGAAAATATATATATATATATATATATACATATATTTAACTTTATTTTCTACAATTTTTACTTTTTATTATTTATATTTCTAATTACACGGAGCCTAGATTGTAGGGGTTTTCGACCTAACAGGGCACCAAGAGAGAATATATCGTGGGTGTTTGGGAAGTGGATTTTTTTGTAAGTTTTTTTTGTTGTAGGATATTATTGGAGAAATTTTTGTGTGTGTTTAGGAAGATAATTGGGTTTTTTTATAGTTAGATGTAATGTTTATAAGAAAAAAAGTGAAATGATTATAGGATTTGATGTGATATTTTGTTTAGATTTGTTTTTTTAGTTTTGTAACCAATTTGTCTTTTAATAAAAAATAAAAAATAAAAACCTAAAAAATTTGTTCCCAAACACTGCCATTATCATGCCAACACACTTGTAATAGGGTAAATTATAGTTAACAGAAATATATAACAGGGTAAATTTTACTGAACTTTCCTGAAGTCTAAAAAATATATATGATGATAAATAAAATTAAAATATACATTTCAATGGAGAAGAGATGTCAATATTATTTTACCATCCATATGAAAAGAGTGCTCAGTGTCATGTGAATCAAACTTTAAAAGAACCTATAACTATGTCAACTTGTAAAGCCTAACCTATATTCTTCAACTCTCAAGAAAAGTTGATGTAAATTTATCCTATATAATATCTATCTATATATATATATATTGATATTTTCCATCAATAACTTAAACCCTTAACCTTCTACTAAGATAAAAGATTTCTGACTTACAAAGCTAGCCTCAGATAGTTGAAGTATCCATTTTTGTTATGACTACAAATCACGAATTGTAATCTTATGTCATTTAAGGAGAAATTTATAATATGCACCCTTTCAAATGATGTACATTATAAAAAAATCATAATTTTTTATGATAAATCTTATGATTATTTGTGATGTGTGTTATGACATTTTGTGATTTTTATTATAATACTTTTAGATTTTGTTATGACATTTTTCAGTAAAATAAAAGTTATACTTTTGTAGTGAAAAAGTTATGATATTTTAAGTTTAAGTTATGAAATTTTTATTAGGGAAAAATATATGATTTCCCACAAATAAATCAATCAATGGAAATAGAAACTAATGCGGAAAAATTAAATCAAAAGCAATTTACATGGTTAACTCAATGTGAGGTACGTCAACGAGATCGAAATCTGATTCCACTATCAGTTAAAAAGTGTTCAAACGATTACAAACGAGACACAAATAGTCTCACAAAACTACGCTTAGTAAATTCCAAATAATCACAAATAAATAAGAAGAAAAATCTCACCAAATAAATGAACAAAAATCTTTAAATAGAGTTGTAAAAAACTCAAAATAACAAACCAAATAAACTTGGAAGTAGAGCCAAAACAAAGGCACAAAGTACTTAGAATTGATTGAACCAAAAACAGACATTAGCACCGTGCTTCTCCACCAATTCCAAACCCACGAATTGATTCATCAATGTTGTAGCTGCGGCACTCCCTGGAAGAATAAACAATAAATATATATATATATATGGGGTTAAATCTTGGACTTTGATATAAAAACTTTAACTGCTACCAAATTGAATATTAAAAACTTATTAGGCTTCCAAAAGATTAGATATAATATATAAAATATATCATATCCAAACCAAACCAAACCAAATTAAAATTTTTTTAACAAACCAATTGAATCTCATGCTCCACTAAGGAGATGTACCTCAACAATTTTGTGAATAAGTTATGAAATACATACCATATACACCTTTTTGAGGGTGCACATTGTAACATATCCTGTTATTTAAACAACCAAATCAACCATTTTCTCAAATTTTGTCTCCCGGCTTAAAATCACTCTAATCTTAGCAAATTTAGTTCCTCGGAGTATAAAATCACGCAAAGCTTATCAAATTTTCTCTCAACATAAAATCACTCATGTTTTCTCAAAAATTTTAAGTTCATCGTAACAATATAAACTATAAAGTCCTCAACAGCATAACCATTTTTAAGAAGCACAAACACCATTCATTTTACAAAATTGATGTAAAATTTATAGCCCCAAGCATTCTGAACCCTGCATAATCATTGATAAAATTTTGGAAGATAGACATTAAGTAGTCTATTAGTATAAGCATAAAAATGTTTGTTGTGATGTAGAGGACTGAGAGGGTAATTTATGTGAAAATTGGGCCGAGCTAGGTAATGGGCCGTTATGGGCCACAGTACGAAGGGCTGAGTAAAAAGGCCATAGAGTTACTCCGGTGAAACGGAGGCATAAAGTTACTCCGGTCCTAAAGGAGGCTTAAAGTTACTTCGGTCTTAAATAAGACTTGAAGTTACTCCGGTCCCAAAGAGCTTACGGTAAGCTCGGTCATCACACATAAAGTTATCCCGGTTGGAACCACGTTATTGGTTATCCCGGTCAAGACATACCATGATTAGCATTGTGAAAGCCGAGGTAAGAGCAGTAAATGGAAGAGCCGAGCTAACGTTATCTCGGTCTATTAGTATAAGCATAAAAATGTTTGTTGTGATGTAGAGGACCAACAGACCTAAGCGTACAGCTTGATATCCAACTTAAAAAACTAACCCTAATTAGACAGGTTAGAAAATATAGAGAACAAAAAAGGAATTAAAAAAAAAAATCAACCAGCAGTCCCAAGCACAAGTGTTTATTAGATGACAAGTCAATTTAGGATTTCAGCAAGATATTCAATATTACAATATTACTGCTGGCAATGGGGGTTAATGGGGTGAATATTAATTCTCCATCTCTATTCCCCATTCTCCATGGGTACTATCCTCCCCATTTCCTAATGGGTTTGGATATTTCCCAACCCAACCTAACTCTTTTTTCTTTTCTTTTCTTTTTCTTTTTTTTTTTTTTAAACCAAAACTAAATATACATTCAATCTTTTTTTTTAAGATTTACAACTTTTTTTTTTTTTTTGTAAGATTCACAACCAAAGCTAAATATACATTCAATCTTTTTTTATTTTTTATTTTTATTTTTTTTAAGGTTCACAGCCATTTATTTTTTTTTTTTAAAGATTCACAACCAAAGCTAAATATACATTCAATCTTATTTTATTTTATTTGGCTAAACAACAAAATCAAATACACATTAATTAACATTGTCACATTATTCTTGTCAAATTTTATGTATATCTAGAATTTTTAAAATTTATTTCAAAAAATTCAATCTTAACTAAAGCTAAATATATATTCAATTTTATTTTATTTTTAAGATTCACAACCAAAGCTAATATACATTCAATCTTATTTTATTTTATTTGGCTCAACAACAAAATCAAATACACATTAATTAACATTATCACTTTATTATTGTCAAATTTTATGTATACCTAGAATTTTTTTAATTTATTTAGAAAAAATTTATTTCTACAAAAAAATTCCATCTTCTTTTTTAATTTTTTTTTTTTTAATTTTATGTATCTCATTCTCCTCTCTATTAATTGATCGTCGATAATCTGAAGGTGAGCTATTGCTCTCATTTCCATCTTCTTCTTCTTCTTTTTTTTTTAAAAAAAAATTTATTTGCATTTATAGAATGAATTTTCTTATTTCAATATCTCCTGCAATTGTTTTATTAGATTTCTTTCTGATTTGATGGTAACCTTAGATTGAATTTTTCAATTTTCATCTTAACTAGTGATCACCTTAATTGAAATTTTGTACATTTTTTTCTTCAATTTCCATGTTTTGGTTATGATTAATTGCGCGCTTTTGATCGATAGTCACAATCTTGTCACCGCTAGATTGTCGTCATCGCAAATCGCCGTTGCTATAGTAAGAGAATGAGAGAGAGTGAGAATTAGAACTCTAATTGTCAACAGAGTAGAGATGGCAATGGATAACCTACTATGTGAGTATCCATGGAAACCCAACCCAAATACTTGGGTTTCCCCTTTTTTCTTGTCCGTTGGGTAGGATAAGTGATATTCTTTAAATCTCAACCGGGGATAGGTACCCACTAATTTTTCCATATTTTTTTTTAGGTACATTGAAAAATAATTTATCCATATGTTTTTACTACTCTGTTGACAATTAGAGTTCTAATTCTCACTCTCTCTCATCCTCTCACTACAACAATGGCGATTTGCGATGACGACAATCTAGCGGTGACAAAATTGTGACTATCGATAAAAAATGCACAATTAATCATAACTAAAACATGGAAATTGAAGACAAAAATATGCAAAATTTTAATTAAGGTGATTGCCAATTAAGATGAAAATTGAGAAAGTCAATCTAAAGTTACCATCAAATAAGAGAGAAATCCAATAAAACAATTACAGGAGATATTGAAACTAGAAAATTCATTTTATAAATGTAAATAAAAAAATTTAAAAAAAGAAGATGGAAACGAGAGTAATAACTCACCTTCAGATTATCGAAGATCAAATAATAGAAAGGAGAAGGAGATACATAAAATTAAAAAAAAAAAATTAAAAAAGAAGATGAAATTTTTTTGTAGGAATAGAATTTTTCTAAATAAATTTAAAAATTTCTAGATATACATAAAATTTGACAAGAATAATGTGACAATGTTAGTTAATGTGTATTTGATTTTATTGTTGAGCTAAATAAAATAAAATAAGATTGAATGTATATTTAGCTTTGGTTGTGAATCTTAAAAAAAAAAAAAAATGGTTGTGCACCTTAAAAAAAAACAAAATTTAAAAAAAAAGAAAAGAAAAAAGATTGAATAAATTTAGCTTCTGGTTGTGAATCTTAAAATTTTAAAAAAAAATAAAATAAAATAAAATTTGGTTGTGAACCTTAAAAAAATTTAAAAAAAAAAAGAAAAGAAAAAAAATTGAACGTATATTTAGCTTTGGTTGTGAAAAAAAAAAAGAAGAGAAATTAGTGGGTACCCATCCCCGACCCATCCTCTGTGTATATTTAAAGAATATCACTTACCTTACCCGACGGATAAGAAAAAAAGAAAAAACCCATGTATTTGGGTTGGGCCTTCATGGATACCCACATGGTAGGTTATGCATTGTCATCCCTAATTACTGGCTTCAAAATTAACCAAAATACAAATAGTAGCCCAACAGATTTTGTGGAAACTTAAAATAGAGAGAAGTGGAAGATGTCCTTCACCAAATACCTCACTGCCGGGCATACAACCTTGGTTCATCCAATATGCCACCATCCGTCATAACAAGCCTGTTCTGGAGAGCACCGGGGCTTTGTTCATGCACTACTAGAGCAAGCTCTCTTCCTGTCATTCTCCCTTAGGCAACACAGAATTGTGCAAAATTAGTTGAATGCCAGCTACTTTCTAACCGATAAAATGAAATTTCATGTTGAGTAAATGCAAAAGTTTCTCTTCGATCATATGTTTATCATTAAATTTGTTTCCACACTGCATTGATAAAAATAATGGCCAAAAGGCAACAAAAACCTAGAAAAGCATGGTAAACAGCTATGGTACATGGACTCTTCTAAATATATGAAGTACTTAAGTTAGACACTTGACACTTGTGTAAAGGTATGGGATATGTGCTTGACATGTGCAGTTGCACATTCAACTAACGAGCATCTTTAGTAATAGGCATTTAACATATGACGATGCATAAAACTCCATATTATACATGAAATGCTATACGGCACCCCTTGCAAACACCACTCTAACATACAAAATTAATATATATGTATACATATATACTAAGAAATATGAAGATGAACTCGATATTAGATACATACCCACATGCAATACTTGTACATGAGTCCCTGTAACATAAACAGAAATAGATGTCCTTGTGTCCTTGTTTTGCCACCCTTGAGACATGCTCTGATATTCTTTTGTGATGTGTGGCAGATTTTAAGATTCTTCAGTTCCAATCAGGATGGTCGCAGCTAAGCTCACCCTGCTTATGGGACAATGCCAGCATCCTTCTGCAATTAGGGTTCCTTGGAATCTTATTACTCCACTTTGTGTGGATAACTATGCAATCATTGTGCAAACAAGGAAAAAAGGTAACGGTGGAAGAAAAATACACCAATGGCATAAAATTTGGCCTCTCTTACAAAGTCAGCATAGCTTGCTCCATTTTACTGCTGGGAACTCATATCATGATGTTGCTGACACTGCAAAATAGAAGGGAAGCACAATGCAAATCTGAAGTCACATTTCTTTCATCAGAGATCACGCAAGTCATAATATTGGCAATTACATTGTTCGCGCTATACAAGATTCCCAATAGAAAGTACATCAAGTTCCCTTGGATTCTTAGAACCTGGTGGGCTTGCTGCTTCTTGCTGTCTCTTGTCCGCACAGCTCTTGATGCCCATTTCATGATTATAAACCATGACCACCTCAGAGTACGCAATTTTGCTGACTTTCTTGGTCTTCTTGCATCCACATGCCTACTGGGTATTTCGATTCGAGGCAAGACTGGGATTGTCTTCGACATACCAAATGGCTTCACAGACCCGCTTCTCAATGGAAAAGACGAGAAGCATTCAGAAAGCAAAAGGAACTGCCTATATGGAAAAGCTACTCTATTCCAACTAGTTACCTTCTCTTGGCTGAATCCTTTGTTTGCTATTGGAATAAAAAAAACTCTTAACCAGGATGACATCCCCGATGTTGACACCAAGGACTCTGCTCATTTTCTATCCCCTTCCTTTGATGAAATCCTAAAGCACGTCAAGGAAAGGGATGGAACCGAAATGCCATCTATCTACAGGACGATGTTTGTGTTTATTAGGAAGAAAGCAACAATTAATGCATTTTTGGCAGTGATAAGTGCAGCAGCATCTTACGTTGGCCCATACCTTATTAATGACTTCGTAACTTTTCTAACAGAAAAGAAAACCCGAAGTTTAGCAAGTGGCTACCTTATTGCACTGGGCTTTCTAGGTGCCAAAATGGTTGAGACGATAGCACAGAGACAATGGATTTTTGGGGCTCGCCAGCTAGGCCTTCGGCTAAGAGTTGCTCTGACATCTCAAATATACAAAAAGGGCCTTCTATTATCAAGCCAATCTCGCCAAAGTCGCACCAGTGGAGAGATCATCAACTACATGAGTGTGGATGTCCAAAGAATCACAGACTTCGTCTGGTACGTGAACACCATCTGGCAGTTGCCTGTACAAATTTCTTTAGCTATCTTTATTTTACACACAAATCTCGGACCAGGGTCACTAGTGGCATTAGCTGCAACTTTCATAGTGATGGCTTGCAACATACCAATTACTAGAGTTCAGAAAAAATACCAGTCTAAGATCATGGAAGCCAAGGATGACAGAATGAAAGCCACTTCAGAAGTTCTCCAAAACATTAAGATTCTCAAACTTCAAGCATGGGATAATCAATATCTTCACAAGCTAGAAAGCCTGAGGAGAACAGAATACAATAGCATATGGAAGTCATTGAGATTGTTAGCAACATCAACTTTTATCTTCTGGGGATCTCCAACATTTATTTCTGTTGTTACTTTTGGGGGTTGTGTTTTAATGGGGATTCCACTAATAGCTGGGCGAGTCCTATCTGCATTGGCAACATTTCGAATGTTGCAAGACCCCATATTCAAATTACCTGATTTACTTTCTACAATCGTACAGAGCAAAATCTCGGCGGATAGAGTAGCTTCTTACCTCCAAGAAGATGAAATTAGGTCAAATGCCATTGAATTTGTTCCAAAAGATCAAACAGAATTTGAAGTTGAAATCAATGGTGGAAAATTTAGTTGGGATGCTGAATCAAGAAGCCCAACTCTTGATGGAATACAGTTACAAGTGAAGAGGGGAATGAAAGTTGCAATTTGTGGCACTGTAGGATCAGGGAAGTCCAGTTTGCTCTCATGCATATTAGGAGAGATGACAAAACTCTCAGGCACGGCGAAAATCAGTGGTACAAAGGCTTATGTTCCCCAGTCCCCATGGATACTTTCGGGGAATGTCAAAGATAACATTCTCTTTGGGAACCCTTATGATAGTGCCAACTATGACAGAACAATCAAAGCATGTGCTTTGATAAAGGATTTTGAGCTATTCTCGGCTGGTGACTTAACAGAGATTGGAGAAAGAGGGATAAATATAAGTGGGGGCCAGAAGCAACGGATACAAATTGCTCGTGCAGTGTATCAGGATGCTGATATGTATCTGCTTGATGACCCTTTCAGTGCCGTGGATGCCCATACGGGCTCACAACTTTTTGAGGTTAGTTTCTAGAATCTTAAAATGAGCCCTTTCTACTCTGAAGAAAATAACTAAGAATGTCTCATTCAATCTCTTAATATGACGCAACAAACTTTGATAACTTTAAGCACTGATTTCTCTTATATGCTCTGCACAGGAGTGCCTGATGGGGATTCTCAAGGACAAGACTACACTTTATGTTACTCATCAAGTCGAGTTTCTTCCACCAGCTGACCTCATTCTGGTATGCAACAAGCAACAAAAATCTCCCTTTCAGTTTTGGGTCAATAAACTGAGGTCATTCTGGCAACTTAAGGATTCATGTATTAGTAAGTAGCACGAAGAATATTTTTAACTTTAGTGTAAAGAGAATATATTCACACAGCATGTTAAAAAATTCAAGAATAACTTGAATGTTAACAAAAAGCAAAGTACTTTTTGAAAAATGAAGCCACATTCTTAAAAAATTTGACAACTACATATTTTAGGAAATTGGCAAGCAGGTGTCATATTTATCTAAACAAAAACTGTAAACAATCAAATTATGCAACATATCTTTAGTGAAGATATGGAGTAAAATTAAAGACTTCAGAATTCTCGAGATTTTGGTGCAAAATTGATGTTTGCAGTTTATGATTGAATCACATTATAGCTGGAAAAATCTCAACAGGTGATGCAAAATGGAAGAATCGCACAAGCTGGAACATTTGAAGAACTTTTGAAACAGAATATTGGATTTGAAGTTTTGGTTGGAGCTCATAGCCAAGCTTTAGAATCTGTCCTAAAAGTCGAAAGTTCAAGTAAAGCATCTCAAAATGAAATATCAGACGAAGAATCCAGTAATGACCTGATGTCAAGTGCAGAACTTGTACACGCTAAGCATGACTCGGAGCAGAAACCTTGTGTGGAGATAAAAGAAAAGGATGCAAGATTGGTGCAGGATGAAAAGAGAGAGAAAGGAAGCATAGGAAAAAAAGTTTATTGGTCTTACTTGACCATTGTGAAGGGTGGAGCCTTGGTTCCAATCATTATTCTGGCGCAGTTGTCATTTCAAGTATTACAGATAGCCAGTAATTACTGGATGGCATGGTCTTGTCCAACCACTGGCGGCACTGAACTAATAGCAGGGATGAATTTGATATTACTGGTTTATACACTTCTTGCTGTTGGAAGTTCACTTTGTATGCTGGTTCGATCCATGCTAGTGGCAGTAACAGGAATTATGACATCACAAAAGCTCTTCACCAACATGCTGCATAGTGTCCTACGAGCTCCGATGGAATTTTTTGATTCAACCCCAACTGGAAGAATTTTAAATCGGGTGAGTAGCATACTGCTTTACTTAATTTATTTTTGAAACCTCATCAAACAAAATGTTATAACTACAGACATCAGCATTGATAGAGAAAAACAATAGGTTTTAGCTTTGTAAAACAGAAGAACATGAAAAACTTAAAGCAATGAGGAACCATGGTCTAATGATAGTTTGCATCTACAACTTCAAAAAGTAATCCTTGTAAGTTGCTGACAGAAACATATAAAAGCTGTAAAAATATCAATTTAAACTTACCATCAATTGGCATAGATCTTCATCACATATCAATGTCTGAAGTAGAGAATAGAAGTTAGTTCACAATTTTAATATGCTAGATAGAAATATAATATAAAGAGAGCATTGAATTCTATAAATCACTAATGATGACAATTTGTTTCAGTTAATGAAAATTACAAATTCAGAGGATACATTCAACAAACAAAAAAACAAAACAAAAAACAATGCAAAAACATCAATGGCTAAGCTCACGAGTCAAGAAAGTTCATAGTGCCCAACACATAATATCACCGACAAGAATCAAGAAAGATTTTTTTCCCAGTTTTTTTCTTTAAATCAGAACCAAACAATCACAAAATTGTTAGCGTATTAAAAGTACCACTACCCCATGAGAAGGTAAAAACTTTTTGGGGTCTACACTGCCTCCACTCCCCTGTTACTGTAACACCAAAAATTGACCATTGCTTCTGACTGCAGTGAAATTTGTCAGTCATAAAGTCATAACTCTATCATAGACAGGATAAAGGAGAAATTTTTTCAAAAAAACTAAATAGTAAAGAGAATAAATGCAAAAGATACCTTTGATTTAAGTCATCATGCTCATTCATTTTCAAGGTGAAGATCAAGCCAATGATATAAGTCATGCTCATTCATTTTCACCAGCCAAAGATTTAAGATAAATCCTACAAATTTCAGTAAATTTATCTGTTCTAATATTTATATGTTGTGTTCATAAAAAAGGGAAAACTCATAACATCTAAATATTTTTATTCACAGGCATCTACAGACCAAAGTGTACTAGACTTGGAGTTAGCAAACAAATTAAGTTGGTGTGCTTTCGCAATAATTCAATTTTTGGGGACCATCGCTGTCATGTCACAGGTAGCATGGGAAGTATTTGTCATCTTCATTCCAATAACAGCAATCTGTGTATGGTACCAAGTAAGATGCTTCTTCTTCTACCTGTTTTTACCATACAATAATAAAAATAGAGATCTCTGGAAAGTAAATAGTATTGGCACAATTCCCTTCTAGCATTCATAATATTTGAATGCTCATTGTGTAACAAATAGAGTCAACAATAACATTTCCAACATGAAAATAAGCCAATTAAAGAGTTATTTCTTGACAACTTTTAGCACTAATTCAATAAAATTTTCAAAAAA